CGTCAATATTTCCAGATTCAGTCGAATACTTTTTTAGGTTTTCTGTGACAAGTGACGTACTTAACAGGTTAAATGACATTTAGTTACGGCTTATTAACTGATTAGTAAGTAAGAAATTGTGTATTCCATTGTCGTTGGTTAATTCTCCTATTTATAATAGCCTATATATTGCTGGTACATAAGAATAGTGACACAACTCAAAAATTTCCTTATTGTGAAAATCAATATCTTCATATTTTTTTGTGGAAGAACGAAAAAAATCGCTGTACGATGACAAAGAGCGAGAAATTTTCGGCTAGGGTGACATAAATCAAAATATGCCAGTTTTATTGAATATAAACTAAGAATATTATTTTCAACAGTGACTTAAGTCAAATGTTAACCAGAATTACTATTCATGAGTTAAAACAACTGTATGGTGACAAAATAGGAACAGCAGCTAAAAAACCTGGACTTCTGCAATGTTAAGAAATACAATTGTTTTGAAAGTTATTTAAACTATACTGAAAAGATGCATGTAATCTTTAAGTAAATCATATTTGACAGAAGTCAAATTAAAGTATAAGAAATATTGTGTTCAGTTTTAAGCGTTCTGTCAAAATTATGCATTTACAAATCGCAACCTTGCTTCAAAAGTGACACTACTCAAAATTCCAATCTTTTGAGCTGAGACCATAAGTAAGATTATTAAATAACCCTAGATTAAAATTTCAAAAATGCTATAGGCGTCTTTTAAGTTAAAAACAATTTTGATTATTGGTGTAGGGATGTTTGTTAATCACATTCATTGCATTAACTCAAAATATGTAAAATGAGCTAATTTTGAGTTGCGTCACTTTTGAAGCAAAAGTGCGAAATGTTTATCAGGTTCTGGTAAGAATTGAGTGTCAAGTGACGATTGACAGTCAATATTTCCAGATTCAGTATAATATAGTTTTTTAAGTTTTCAGTGACAAGTGACATATTAACTGATACTATCGTACGCAAGAAATTTTGTACATCATTGTCGTTGGTTAATTGTCTCATTTATAATAGCCTATGTATCGTTGGTGCACAAGAATAGTGACACAACTCAAAAAATTTCTTATTGTAAAAATCAATATTATCCGCATATTTTTATGTGGAAGAATGACATATTACTATTTTAAAAGAAACGCTGTACTATGACGAATAAAATAGTTGTACCCCTACAGTCAATGAGTTAAAATAGTAGAGAGTGACTTAAATCAAAATATGCTGGTTTTATTGAAAATAAACGAAGAACATTATTTTCAACAGTGACACCAAGTCAAATGTTAACCGGAATTAATATTCATGAGTTAAAACAACCGTATGGTGACAAAATAGGAGCAGCAGCTGAAAAACCTGGACTTCTGCAATTGTTAGGAAAACATGCATTTTTCTATGAAAATTTATGATTCTTAAATGAAGTTTAATTAATTATTTCTTGCAATGTTTTTTTTTATAATAAAATTTTCGTTTTTTGCATGCATTTAGTAACCATTGTTTTGTTTGTTGCGAAGTTATCAATATGGTGTGAAATATACTTTTTTGTAAGATAGTCATAACTCAGAAAAGTGTCATTAAAGCAAACTTATTATTATTTGAATACAAGGTAAACAATAATGTTCATTGCCAAAAAAGATTTGGACATTTTTAAAATGCAAAATTATTGAAAAATCTGTTTTTGAGTTGTGTCATTATTCTTGTGTAGCAATGATGTATAAGTACTCAATTTTTAATAAATCTGTAATGTTCGATAGACAAGCGACATATTTGAGAGTTTAGATGATAGATGTTTATATTTGGCAGGTTAATTGACAGATGTCATTTAATTAGGGCTTATTAACTGATACTCTCGCAAGTAAGAAATTTTGTACTCCATTGTCGTTGGTTGATTATTATATTTATAATAGTCTATATATCGTTGGTGCACAATAATAGTGACACAACTCAAATTTCCTTATTGTGAAAATCAATAATAATATCCACATATTTTTATGAGAAGGAACGACATATTACTATTTAAAAAAAACCGCTGCGGCTAGAGTGACATAAATCAAAATGTTTTATTAAAAATAAATGAAAAACATTATTTTCAACAGTGACACAAGTCAAATATTAACCAGAATTACTATTCATGAGTTGAAATAACTGTATGGTGACAAAATAGGAGCAGCAGCTGAAAAACCTGGTTTCCTGCAATTGTTAGGAAAACATGCATTTTTCTATGAAAATTTATGATTTTTAAATGAAGTTTAATACATTATTTCTTGCAAAAAAGTGTTTTTTGTAATAAAAATTTTTGCATGCATTTAGTAACCATTGTTTTGTTTGTTGCGAAGTTATCAATATGGTGTGAAATATACTTTTCTGTAAGATAGTCATAACTTAAAAAAGTGTCAATAAAGCAAACTTGCTATTATTTGAATACAAGGTGAACAATGATGTTCATTTCCAAAAAAGATTTTAGACATTTTTAAAATGCAAAATCATTGAAAAAAAAATAATCTGTTTTTGAGTTGTGTCACTATTTTTGTGTAGTCAGTCATAACTCAAAAAAGGGAAAATATATTTTCAGGTTTTTCTTAATGTCATTAAAACAAACTTTCTATTATTTTAATACAAGGTAAACAATGATGTTCATCTCTAAAAAAGATTTGGACATTTTTAAAATGCAAAATCATTGAAAAATCTGTTTTTGAGTTGTGTCACTATTCTTGTGTAGTCAGTCATAACTCAAAAAAGGGAAAATATATTTTCAGGTTTTTCTTAATGTCATTAAAACAAACTTTCTATTATTTGAATACAAGGTAAACAATGATGTTCATCTCCAAAAAAGATTTGGACATTTTTAAAATGCAAAATCATTGAAAAATCTGTTTTTGAGTTGTGTCACTATTCTTGTGTAGCAACGATGTATAGGTACTCAAGTTTTAACAAATCAGTAATGTTTTGTTGACAAGTGACATATTTGACAGTTTAGATAATATATGTTTATATTTGGCAGGTTAAATGACAGATGTCATTTAGTTACGGCCTATTAACTGATACTCTCTTACATTTCATATTCCAGTTCATGTAAAATTTAACTTTGACAAATGACGTTTGACAGTTTAAGCAATAATCCATTGAAAATACATGATAGTACAGTTTTTATAGCGTAGGTCTATATTTTTATATAATCATTCATTTTCAAATAAACTATAGTTGGTTAAAACAATATCTATATATCGTTGGTGCACAAGAATAATGACACAATTCATAACAAAATCGGCAAATTTTTTAGTAGAATAACGACATATTTCTACTTGCAAAAATGACAGCTGTAAATAGATTATGTAGCTCTTCCCATACGACAATGTTGTGAGTTTATGATGATAGTTTTGCCACGACAATCAATGAGACAAGATTGTCAGTTTTCGGCTAGAATGACATAAATCAAAATATGTCAGTTTTATTGAAAATTAACTAAGAAAATAATTTTCAACAGTGAAAAAAGTCAAATGATAAGCATGAGTTGAAACAACGATATAGTGGCAAATTAGGGGCAGGAGCTAAAAAAATCTGAATTTCTTAAAATTTTAGAAAAAAATGTAATCCCAAAATCGTATACTAAATTGTGATTTTTAAATAATAAAATTATTGTTTTTAAATGCATTTAGTAACCATTATTATATTTGTTATAAAGTTATCAATGTGGTGTGAAATATATTTTTCTGGAATACCGTCATAACTCAACAAAAGGATGAAAATATAATATTAATGGGTGTTTTGAATGAAAACTATTGTTTATTCCCAAGAATATAGCAAACAAGAGACTTCAAAATGGGTGTCTTTGAAAATCCATATTTTTGAGTGGACACTATTATTTTATACCAGCGATATGTGTAGGTACTCAATTTTCAAAAAAATGTAATGTATTGTTGACAAATGACATTTAACAGTTTACACGACAGGTATTTGTATTTGACAAGGTAAAAGACAGCTGTCATTTAGTTACGGTTTATTAACTCACACTCGCTTACATAAGAAATTTTGTACTTCAATTAATGCAAAATCTTTGACAAGTGACGTTTGACATTGCCGTTGGTCTCATCTATATCTTTAAAAAATACAATTTTCAATAAATTTGTTGCCAAGCGACGTATTTGACAGTTTAGATGACAGGTACTCTTCTGTTGTTTTTAAACTTAAATTTATATCGTTTCTAGTTGACAAATGATATATATGACACGTTAGAAGACTCGCCAAATCTGATTGTGACAAGAAACGCTCATTTAACGTAATTGACAGCTGTCAAATAGTTAATATTTATCGATCGGTTTATGTATTTGACAGTTTAGATGACAGGTATTCATCTGTTGTTTTTAAACTTAAATTTATATCGTTTCTAGTTGACAAATGACATGTATGACACGTTAGAAGACTCGCCAAATCTGATTGTGACAAAAACGTTCGTTTAACGTTATTAATTGACAGCTGTCAAATAGTTAATATTTATCGATTGGTTTATGTATGACAGTTTAGATAACAGGTATTCATCTGACAATTGTTTTTAGACTCAAATTTTTATCTTCTTTACGTTTCTAGTTGACAAATGACATGTATGACATGTATGACACGTTAGAAGACTTGTCAAATCTGATTTTGACAAGAAACGTTCGTTTAACATTATTAATTGACAGCTGTCAAATAGTTGATATTATCGATTGGTTTTCGTTACGTATTGAATTTAATCGGTTTTGGTCAAAAAAATAACTATTTTAACATTTTCTACTTACTTTTTAACTGTGATATATATATTTTTTGAAGTAGTTAAACGTTTCTGCCCATACCAAAGAAGAGGTCCAGATACACACCCTGTAGGTTTAAATAAAAATAATGTTGCAATTAATTAGGTAATTTTATTTAAATAAACTTTTATAAGAGGTAGATTTAATAAAATAAAATTAAATATTAAATTAATATATAACATAATAACTTAAAAACAAAAATAACGCGCATATACTTATTTTATTTTTCTCCAATTCGATAAACTAAAAAAAGTCCATTTTCTTACAATCCGACCATTTTTAATTCTACAACTATTTTAAAATCCTATAAAAAATAAGTCTCTCTCCTTAAAAAAAAAACCCGTACCGACGACTTGATGATTGTTTGACGCACAATACTTGGTCTAATTTTATCCGATATGTCTCTAAAACAACTCCCAAAACGATAAACACTTATCAAGCCATATTTCTAATGAATATTCATGACAAGGTATTTTTACAGTCGACAAGTGACGTTTGAAATTGACAAACGACATTTGATGTTGACGTTTGACGTACAGCAACTGTCGTGTGTGTTGTTTGAGAGTTTCTGGCCGCCTACGACTACAGAACAGCTTTTCTACGCACTATTCTCGCAAAAACGCACATCACTATAAAAAAAATCGACGACTACATTACAAGGAATATTTTTCTCGTAAGCAGTTAGTTCCCTAAGAAATGCATAAATAAAAATATAAATTCTCATTAAACGAAATACATCAAATTATGCTTAAAAATTGTCATGTTCCATTCCCTTCCGAACGCGCGGGTTGTCTCTTTCTGAAAGAGTTTTTTTTTAATCTTTTTTAGTTAAATCTTCCAGGGTCTGATCTTGTTTCCCTGTTGAAATATGTCGGAGATGAAGATAATTTTTTGTTATTATTAAAATTTATTTTACAAATAGTTGTTAGTTGCCGTTCGTATTACGAGCTATGATAATGTCCTTGCGGTTGTTGGAGTCTGTGCCGTAGATTTTGCCGGCCTTCTTCGCCATGGATCCGAGGAGTTCTTGGGATACTTTGTGCGCAGACTTCAAGGATGTCAACCATTCCTTTAGGCCTATTTCGTCCTGAAAACAAACCAAACAACGTACAATTTTCCACTAAAACAAACATTGCTACAAAATGTCCGAATGCAGAAACTATTTAGTAGTGCTACAAAAATTTATGAGCATTGTTATAATTGTTCTTAGCGCTACACAAATTTATGTAGTGCTACTGGCCCACGTTATTCTCTTTTGTGGCTACAGAATTGCTTTAAAGTGCTACCAAAGTTTTAAACCAATAAAAACTACTTCATAAGGCTATAAAAATTTCTGGAGACAGTAAAATTATCTGTAACTGCTACAAAAGTTTAAGAAAATATTTCGTAATCCTATAAAATATTTTTTAGTGCTAGAAAAGCTACTAGGAATTTAAAAATATTTTTTCAGGCTACAAAACTGTTTTAAAATGCTATAAAAGTTCAGAATCATACTTAAATGTATTTTGCCGCACTACAAAACTGTTTTTATAGTGGTACAAACTTGTTCAATATGATTAAATTCTGTCATATACCTAAAGAAATGTTTTGTAGCGAGTCAGCGTCTTCAGTGCTTAAAAACTATAAAAAACATTTTCGTTATGTTACAAACATTTCTGAGCATTGTTATAATTATTAACAGTGGAAAACAAGTTTTTCTAGTGCTACAAAAATTACTTGCCCACGTTTTTATTTTCTGTGGCTTACAGAATTGTTATAAAGTGTTACAAAACTGATCTAAAGCCACGCAAAATTTTAAACCAATAAATAAATAATTTGAAAAGCCATAAAAGTTTCTGAAGCCTTTCAAATTATTTGTTAGTGCTACAAAAGTATTGAATTATTTTAAAAATTATTTCGTAATCGTATAAAAGTTTCAGAATCCTTTTAAACCATTTGTTTATGCTACAAAAGTAACGAACCATTTTAAAAATTATTTTGTTACAATTATTTGTCCCGGCTACAAAACTATTTTAAAGTCTACAAAAGTTCAGATTCATAATCAAATGTATTTCGCTGAAACTACGAAATGTCCATTTGTGCTACAAAACTGTTTTATAGTGGTATTAAATTGTCTCATTTGGCAAAATACTGTTTTATAGAGCTACAGAGCGAGACAAACTTTTCATAGTGCTATAAAACTTTCGCAGTTACACAAAATATTTTTGTAGTGCTACAAATATTGTTCATATTTTTGTCGTTACCGAATTGTTTTAAAGTGCTACCAAATTAATATAAAGTAATAAGTTTTAAACCAATCAAAAAAAGTATTTCGTAATGCTATGAAAATTTCTGTAGACTATCAAATTATGTTAAAGTGCTACAAAAGTTCAGATTCTTAGTCAAATGTATTTTACTATACTATGAAACTATCCATAAGTGCTACAAAACTGACTGCTAATTCTTTAAAAGTGACGTTAATTCTACAATACTTTTTATAATGGTACAAAACTGCTACAAAAGTTTTAAACCAATTAATAAATCCTTCATAAGGCTATAAAAATTTCTAAAGACTAAAATTATCTGTTACTGCTACAAAAGTAAGAAACCGTTTAAGAAAATATTTCTTAATCCTATAAAAGTTTTTTAAAAACTATTTTGTAGTGTTAGAAAAGCTACTGGGAATTTTTACAAATATTTTTTCCAGGCTATAAAATTATTTTAAAGTGCTATAAAAGTTCAGAATCATAGTCAAAATGTATTTTGTCGTACTACAAAACTGTCCATTAGTGTTACAAAACTGTTTTATAGTGGTACAAACTTGTTTCATATGACTAAATATTGTTATATACCTACAGAAATGTTTTGTAGCGAGTCAACATCTTCAGTGATTCAAAGCTATAAAAAAACATTTTCGTAATGTTATAAAGATTTCTGAGCATTGTTATAACTATCAACAGTGGAAAACAAGTTTCTGTAGTGCTACACAAATTACTTGACTACGTTTTTATTTTTTGTGACTACAGAATTGTTATAAAGTGTTATAAAACTGATCTAAAGCTACGCAAAATTTTAAACCAATAAATAAATAAATAATTACTAAAAAGCTATAAAAGTTTCTGAATCCTTTTAAATAATTTGTTAATGCTACAAAAGTATTGAAACATTTTAAAAAATATTTTTTTGTCCTACAAAAGCTACTGCAATTGTTACAAATATTTATCCAGGCTACAAAACTGTTTTTAAGTGCTATAAAAGTTCAGAATAATAGTCAAATGTATTTTCCGTACTACAAAACTATTCATTAGTGTTACAAAACTGTTTTTATAATGGTACAAACTTGTTTCATACGACTAAATACTGTTATATACCTACATAAATGTTTTGTAGCGAGACAGCCTCTTCAGTGCTTCAAAACTTTTTCGAAGTTATAAAAAACATTTTTGTAATGTTATAAACATTTCGAGCATTGTTATAACTATTAACAGGGGAAAACAAGTTTTTGTAATGCCACAAGAATTACTTGCCCACGTTTTTATTTTTGGTGGCTACAGAATTGTTACAAAACTGATCTAAAGCCAGGAAAAATTTCAAACCAAAAAATAAAAAATTTGGAAAGGTATAAAAGTTTCTAAAGCCTGTCAAATTATTTTTTAGTGCTACAAAAGTATGAAACCATTTTAAAAACTTATTTGTAGTCCTACAAAAGCTACGGGAATTGTTACAAATATTTTTAGACGATATAAAACTGTTTTAAAGTGCTACAAAAGTTCAGATTCCTAGTCAAATGTAATTTACTATACTATGAAACTGTCCATAAGTGCTACAAAACTGACTGCTTATTCTACAAAACTTTTTATACAAGACTACTACAAAAGTTTTAAACCAATTAATAATTCCTTCGTAAGGCTATAAAAGTTTCTGAAGACTGTTAAATTATATGTTACTGCTACAAAAGTAAGAAATCGTTTAAGAAAATATTTCGTAATCTTATAAAAGTTTTTTTTTAAACTATTTTGTAGTGCTAGAAAAGCTACTGGGAATTTTTACAAATATTTTTTACATGCTACAAAACTGTTTTAAAGTGCTATAAAAGTTCAAAATCATAGTCAAATGTATTTTGCTGGAATTACAAAACTGTCCATTTGTGCTACAAAACTCTTTTATAATGATATAAAATTTTATTTGGCGAAATACTATTTTATAGACTTTTTCGTAATTATAAAAAACATTTTCGTAATGTTACAAATATTTTTGAGCAATATTATAATTATTATCAGGAGAAAACAAGTTTCTGTAGTGCTACAAAAATTACTTGCCCGCGTTTATATTTTTTGTGGCTACAGAATTATTATTTTTATAAAATGTTACAAAATTGATATAAAGCAATAAAAAGTTTTAATCCAATGAAAAAAAGTATTTTGTAGTGCTATAAAAGTTTCTGAATTCTCTTAAATCATTTGTTAGTGTTACAAAAGCAAGGAACCATTTAAAAAACTTATTTGTAGTGCTACAAAAACTACTGGAATTGTTACAAATATTTTTCGACTTTATAAAACAGTTTTAAAGTGTTAAAAACTTGTTATATACCTACAGAAATGTTTTTGTAGCGAGACAACCTCTTCAGGGCTTCAAAACTTTTTCGTAGTTATAAATTTTTTTTTCGTGATGTAACAAACATTTCTGAGCATTGTTATAACTATTATCAGGGAAAAACAAGTTTCTGTAGTGCTACAAAAATTACTTGTCCACGTTGCTATTTTTTGAGGGCTACAGAATTGTTATAAAGTGTTACAAAAATAAATAAATAATTACTGGAAAACTATAAAAGTTTCTAAATCCTTTTAAATCATTTGTTATTGGTACAAAAGTAATAATCCATTTAAAAAAATATTTTTTGTGCTACCAAAGCTACTGGAATTGTTACAAATATTTGTACAGTCTACAAAACCGTTTTAAAGTGCTATAAAAGTTTAGAATCATAGTCAAATGTATTTTGCCGTACTACAAAACTGTCCATTAGTATTACAAAACTGTTTTATAGTGGTACAAACTTGTTTCATTTGACAAAATACTGTTATATACCTACATAAATCTTTTGTAGCGAGACAACCTCTTCAGTGTTTCAAAACTTTTTCGTAGATATAAAAAACATTTGGTAATGCTACAAAAGTAATGAACCATTTTAAAAAATATTGTGGTCTGCTACAAAAGCTACTAGAATTGATAGAAATATTTGTCCAGGCTACAAAACTATTTTAAAGTGCTACAAAAGTTCAGATTCATGCTTAAATGTATTTCGCTGAAACTACAAAACTATCCGTTTGTGCTACAAAACTGTTTCATAGTAGTATAAAACTGTTTTATTTGGCGAAATACTATTTTATAGAGCTACAGAAATGTTTTATAGCGAGACAAACTTTTCATAGTACAATAAAACTTTTTCGCAGTTATACAAAATATTTTCGTAGTGCTACAAAAATTGTTCATATTTTTTGTCGCTAACAAATTGATATAAAGCAATAAGTTTTAATTCAATCAAAAAAAGTATTTCGTAATGCTATAAAAGTTTCTGAAGACTATCAAATCATTTGTTAGTGCTACAAAAGTAAGGAACCATTTTAAAAACTTATTTGCAGTGCTACAAAAGCTACTGGAACTGTTACAAATATTTTTTGACGCTATAAAACTGTTTTAAAGTGCTACAAATGTTCAGATTCATATTCAAATGTATTTTGCTATACTGTGAAACTGACCAAAAGTGCTACAAAAGTGACGTTAATGCTACAAAACCGTTAATGTAGTAGTCCAAAATTGTTTCATATAACTAAAAACTGTTTCATAAAGTTTCAGAAATGTTTCGTAGCGAAATACATTTTTCAGAGCCAGAAAACTTTTTCGAAATGAAAAAACTTTTTCGTACTGCTACAAAACTTTTTCTTAATTATTCAAAACATTTTCGTAGTGCTAGAAAAATTTATATTAGTGAAATAACTGTTACTTAGTGATATAAAACTGTTTCATAGAGCAGCAAAACTTTTCATAGTTCTACAAAACTTTTACGAAGCGCTACAAAACATTTTCATAGTGAAATAACTGTTTCTTAGAGATCTAAAACTATTTCAGAGCGCAGTAAAACTTTTTCGTATTGATACAAAACTTTTTCGTAGCGTTACAACACTTTCACAGTACTAAAAATCTTCTGTAGTAATATATACATGTTGCTTAGTGTAACAAAACGATTTCATACTACAGCAAAGCTTTTTCGTAACGCTACAGAACTTTTTCTTAGTGATATTAAACAATTCTATAGTGCAGCAAACCTTCATAGTGCTACAACTTTTTAGTGGCCATAAAAAAATTTCGTAGTGCTACAAAATATTTGTAGTGTTACAAAACTCTTTCTAAGTGATATATAACTGTTACTTAGAGATATAAAATGATTTAATAGTGCATTAAAACTTTCTTAGGGTGCATCATAACTTTGTCCTAGCGCTACAAAAATTACTGATATATACCTGTTTCAGTAGTTATAGAAATTATAGAAAACATTTTCATAATGCTACAAAACTTTTTCGTGACGATATAAAACTTTTTTTAATCATATATACCTATTGATTAGTGATATAAGACGATTTCATAGTGCTACAAAACTTTCATAGTGCTACAAAACTTCTTCATATTAATACAAAGCTTTTTAATAGTTATATAAAACTTTTCAATAGTTATACAAAACATTTTCGAAGTGCTTCAAAACTTTTACGTAGCGCTACAAAACTTTTGCTTAGTCTCATATAACTGTTGCTAGATAATTTAATAGCGTAGCAAAGCTTTTTCATAACGCTACAAAAGTATATAATACAAAAAAATACTTACGGGATTTGTAAGAACAACTTTTCCATCGCGCAACCTCACCACGATGCAATTTTCGTTCTTGACTTGCACCAGATCGGGACTGACCTCTTCTATCTGGTCCATAAATACTAATTCCGGTTTAGCTGAATCGGGATGGAGTTCTAACCTGTTTGGGTACAATTTGGCGTACCTCATTTGCCAACTAGACGTCCAGGGTCCCCCCAGTTTCTTTACGTACCCGTGTAAAATGCAGTCGGTTTCTGTCAAAACAAAAATATTCTATTTATTAACCGTTTAAAAAAAAAAACGTAAAAATTGTGTGACATTAAATAATACGTTTAAATTAATTTAAATTAATCTACTCCAGTTAAAACTATTTATTTCGCAGGGTTACAAACGATTCTAAACGTTGTTTAAACTATTTTGCAATGTTACGAACGTTTCTTAACGTTGTTAAAAATATTTCGCAGAACCACAAACATTTCTGAAAGTTGTTAAAACTATTGTGCGATGTTGCGATGTTGTTAATAATGTTAAGAACATTTCTGAATGTTGCTAAAACTATTTCGCAAGGCCGCAAACGTTCCTAAACGTTTTAAAAACTATTTCGCTACGTTACGAACGTTTCCAAATGATAAAAATATGCACCAAATGTTTCTGAACGTTGTTAATACAATTTCGCAAAGTTATAAAGGCTTCTAAACATTGTTAGAAATATTTCGTAGGACACCAAACGTGTCTGAACAATGTTAAAAATATTTAGCAGTGCTAGAAATGTCCCTAAACGTTGTTAAAACTATTTTGCAATGTTACGAATGTTTTTAAACGTTAACAATATTTCGTAGTACAACAAACGTTGCTTAACGTTGTTAAAAATATTTCGCAAAGCCACAAACGTTTTTGAACGTTGTTAAAACTATTGCACAATGTTACGAACGTTTCTGAACGTTGTTAAATATATTTCGTAGTGCAAGAAACGTGTCTGAACTGTGTTAAAACTATTGCGCAATTTTGCGAACGTTTCTAAAAGTAAAAATATCAACCAAACATTTCTGAACGTTGTTAAATCAATTTAATAATGTTATGAACATTTCTTAACGTTACTAATACTATTTCGCAGGCCTGCAAACGTTTCTAAACGTTTTTAACACGATTTCGTAATGTTAGGATCGTATTTAAACGTTAAAAATATGTACCAAACGTTTCTGTTCACAATGTTAAGGAAGATCTTTGAACATTACTAAAACTATTTCGCAGTGCTACAAACTTTCCTAAACTTTTTAAAAAACTATTTCGCAATGTTACGAACGTTTCCAAATGATAAAAATATGAACCAAATATTTCTGAACGTTGTGAATACAATTTCGCAAAGTTATAAAGGCTTCTAAACTTTGTTAGATGTATTTCGTAGGATACCAAACGTGTCTGAATAATGTTAAAAATATTTAGCAGTGCTAGAAATGTTCCTAAACGTTGTTAAAACTATTTTGCAATGTTACAAATGTTTTTAAACGTTAACAATATTACGAAGTACAACAAACGTTTCTTAACGTTGTTAAAAATATTTCGCAGAGCCGCAAACGTTTTTGAATGTTGTTAAAATTATTTCATAATGTTACGAACGTTTCTGAACGTTGTTAAATATATTTTGCAGTGCAAAAAACGTGTCTGTACCGTGTTAAAACTATTGCGAACATTTCTAAACGTAAAAATATCAACCAAACATTTTTGAACGTTGTTAAAACTATTTCGCAGGGCCGCAAACGTTTCTAAACGTTATAAAAACTATTTCGTAATGTCACGAACGTTTCCAAATGATAAAAATATGCACCAAATGTTTCTGAACGTTGTTAATACAATTTCGCAAAGTTATAAAGGCGTATAAACGTTGTTAGAAATATTTCGCAGCACACAAACGTGTCTGAATAATGTTAAGACTATTTAGTATGTTATGAAGTTTCTAAACGTTAAAAATATTAAGCAAGGCTAGAAATGTTCCTAAACGTTCCTAAACTATTTTGCAATGTTACGAATGTTTTAAAACGTTGACAATATTTCGTAGTACAACAAACGTTTCTTAACGTTGTTAAAACTATTTCCCAATGTTACGGATAGTTTCTGGTAAACTATTTCATAGTGTAACAAACGTTTCTCAACGTTGTTAAAATATTTAGTAGCATGTTGATGTACGTACGTACCTTTTTCATCCAAATCGTAGAGTTTCTTCTGCTTGGCCTTCTTCTTGTGCTCCTGTTTGTCGGCCTCGAAATTAACGGTTTCGAATACGGTTTCGGCGACTTCGTTCTGCCACCGTTCGGATATCACTAGCGGAAAGTTTTTGTACAGTTCCTGATCGGCGTCGGTGAGTTTGATGCCCTTGGTATCCTCCTCGTCGAACGAACCAATGTCAAAGGCGTCGGCCGCGTTCACCTCCCCCCTCGGAGGTATCAGCGGCGGGGTGTATTTCTGTAAGTAGACCTGCTGCCAGTCGATGCCGGCGAAGAACGGATGTTCTTTGACTTCTTCGGAGCTGTCGAAGGTAAGGAAATGTTAATAAAAATGAGCAATTGGTTACGGAAAGGTAAACGACGGTTTGGGTTTAGTATCAGTACTTTATATAGAGTATAATAAAAAAATAACAGCTGCAAACGTTTTTGAACGTTGTTAAAACTATTTCACCAAATTATAAAAGTTTCTGAACGTTGTTAAAACTAATTCGCAGTGCTACAAACGTTTCTAAACATTGTTAAAGCTATTTCACGATGTTAGAATCAATACTGAACCATTGTAGGACAAAAAACGTTTCTGAACGTTGTTAAAACTATTTTACAATGCTACAAACATTTTTGAAACTAGTTAAAACTATTTTACAATGTTACGAACCTTTATGAACGTTGTTAAAAATATTTTTTACTACAACAACGTTGTTAAGACTATTTCACAATGTTAATAACGTTTCTGAACGTTGTTAATATTTCGTAGTGCAACAAACGTTTCATAACATTTCTGAAACTAGTTAAAACTATTTTACAATGTTACGAACCTTTTTGAAGGTTCTTAAAAATATTTTTTACTGCAACAACGTTGTTAAGACTATTTCACAATGTTACCAACGTTTCTGAACGTTGTTATTGTTTCGTAGTGCAACAAACGTTTCTTAACGTTGTTAAAACTATTTCGCAACGTTACTGAACTTTTCAAAACGTTATTTAAACTATATTGCAATGTTACAGAACTTTTCAGAACGTTGGTAAAATTAATAATTAGTCCTATAAACGTTCCTAACAGTTGTTAATTTGACGATTGTTTGGCAAAGTTAAGAAACGTTTCTAAACGTTGTTAAAAATGTTTCGTAGTGCACCAAACGTTGATAAAATTATTTCGCAATGTTTAGAATATTTCTGAACGTTGTTAAAACTAATTCACACTACAACAAACGTTCCTGAACGTTGTTAAAGCTATTTGACAATGTTACGAACAATAGTGAACCATTGTTAAAAATATTTCGTAGGACTATAAACGTTTCTGAACGCTGTTAAAACTATTTTGCAATGCTACAAACATTTCTGAAACTAGTTAAAACTATTTTACAATGTTACGAACCTTTATGAACGTTGTTAAAAATATTTTGTAGTGCAACAAACGTTTCTTAACGTTGTTAAGACTATTTCGCAGTGTAACAAATGTTTCTGAACATTGTTAAAACTATTTCGCAATGTTACTGGACTTTTCGAAACGTTGTTTAAACTATTTTGCAATGTAAACAAAAAATATTTGATTAACTTACCCATTTCCCTTACAGCCCAGTCTTTTGTCGATATCTCTTTGCAGTAAAGCTTCTAACAGTGATTTCAATTCTTTACTAAACGAATCCGGTAGTTCTACGTTCTAAAAAACAAATAATAACAGTTAAATCATGCTGTGACATATTTGATAAATAATAAAACTAAACTAAAAATATATAACGTCCGTTCTGATCAAATCTGAGAAATTTTGCATTTACTACCTACTCCTATTACGTTACAACCAAATGCAAAGCAAACATTTTTCTATGAAATTGAGTTTTAATAAAATAACCCGAGGGGCTGAATATTATCATACGCTCGACTGTTATTCTCTTTTCTAACTTACCATAGTTAAGGTCATTCTATCTATCTCGTGTTTGTCTTTGGTTTTGTGTTGGCGGAAGGGCGAGTGGCCCTTCAACAGTTTGTACAACATACAACCGAAGCTGAACCAGTCTGCGCTCGAATCGTACGGCGTACCCTTCGATAATACTTCCGGTGCCATGTAACCGTGTGTTCCTCTAAAACAATCATTATTAACGTAGTAAAATTGCGCCTAACCTTCAACAAATGTAAAATTATATGTTGACATCAAGAAAACTGGGTTAAGAAAAAAAAATTAAATTTTCTGGTACTATAATTTAAAAAAAATTACTTTTGCGTAATTTTTTAAATTTTTGTATTAGCGAAGAAAAGTACTGTTTTGTACCTTAGAGGTAAATAATCTTTTCTTCAGTGTTATAGAATTCGAGAAAATAAGGTCCAAACAATCATTATTATCATAGTAAAATTGTATCTAACCATCAACAAACGTGAAATTATACATTGACATAGTGAAAACTATGTTCATGAAAAAAAAAATGAATTTGAATAAAATTGAAATTTTCCTGGACTATAATTTTTACATTCAAAAATGTTTTAAATTTCGGCACCAACATAGTAAAATTGCACCTAATCATCAACAAACGTAAAATTATACGTTAACACCGAGAAAACTGTGTTTGTAAAGAAAAAATTAAATTAGAAAAATAAATATTTTACGGGACTATGTAAAATTCATGCGGAAGTTTTAAATGTTGACACCAACATAGTAAAATTGCACCCATCAACAAACACGTAATTATAAGTTATCGAAAAAACTGTTCGTGAAGAAAGAAAATAAATTAGAAAATAATTAAATTTTTCTGGAATAGTTTAAAAAATTCCGCGAAACTGTTTAAAATTTCTTTACAATAAAATTGCACCTAACCATGAACAAATGTAAAATTATTCGTTGACATCGAGAAAACTGTATTCGTGAAGAACAAATGAAATTTCAAAATAATTGAAATTTTCTCAGACTAATTTAAAAAAAATCACATCAAAATGTTTTTAATTTTGCCACCCACTTACACAGTAAAATTGCACAATAAATTTAATGTAAAATTATACGTTGACGTCTAGAAGATACTGAAGTCGTGAAGAAATAAAATTGTTGAAATTTTTCCGGATAATTTTAAAAAATTGCTCGAAAATGTTTTAAATTATGACACCAACATACTAAATTGCACGTAACCATCAACAAACGTAGTCCATTATTCCAAATAAATTTAAATTATACGTTAATATCGAAAAAAATGTGTTCGTGAAGAAAAAATGAAATATAAAATAATTGGAATTTTCCCGGACTATCATTTTTAAAAATAACTTGAAAAATGTTTTAAATGTAACAGTAAAATTGTATCTAACCAACAACAAACGTGAAATTATACATTTACATTGAGAAAACTGTGTTCGTGAAGAAATGGAATTAAAACACATCAAATTTTCCTGGACTATAATTTAAACAAATAGTGCAAAAATATTTTAAATGTTGGATCAACTCAGTAAAATTGCACCTAATCATTAACAAACGTAAAATTATAGGTTTACACCGAGAAAATTGTTTGTAAGAAAAAATTAAATTAAAAAAAGAAATATTTTACCGGACTATATAAAATTCATGAGAAAGTTTTAAATTTTGACACCAACATAGTAAAATTGCACCTAACGTGACATTACACGCTGATATCAAGAATAAAATGAAATAATATATTTTCCGGACTATAATTTTTAAAATTGACGCGAAAAAGTTTTAAATTTTGTCACCAATATAGTAAAATTGTACCTAACAATCAACAAACGCATAATTATAAGTTGCCATCGAGAAAACTGTTCGTGAAGAAAATAAATTAGAAAAAATTGAATTTTCCCGGACTAGTTTTAAAAAATTACACGAAACTGTTTAAAATTTCATTACAATAACCATCAACAAATGTCTTTCATTATTCCAAATTAATTCAAATTATACGTTAATATCGAAAAAATGAAGAAAAATAAAATAAAAAAAAAACTGAAATTTTTCCGAACTAACACTTTTAAAAATCATTTGAAAATGTTTCAAATTTTGGCACCTACATAGTAAAATTGCACCTAATCAACAATAAACGTGAAATTAGACATTGACATTGAGAAAATTGTGTTCATAAAGAAAAAATAAAATAAAAATAAAATTTCCCCGGAATATAATTTTAAAAAATTACGGATGTTTTTAATTTAGGCCCCAACATAGTAAAGTTGATATACAATAACATCGAGTAAAACTGTGTTCATGAAGAAATTGAATTAAAATTCATAAAAATTTTCCCGGACTATAATTTGAAAAATCGCGCAAAAATGTTTTAAATGTTGGATCAACTTACTAGATTTGTACCTAATCATTAACAAACGTAAAATTATACGTTGACACCGAGAAAGCTGTGTAAAGAAAAAATTAAATTAAAAAAAAATATTTTATTCATTTTATTCATGCGAAAGTTTTAAATGTTGGCATCAACATAGTAAAATTGCACTTTACCATCAACAAACGCCTAATTATAAGTTGCCATCGAGAAAACTGTTCGTGAAGAAAGAAAATAAATTAGAAAAAAATTTCCCGGACTATAATTTTAAACAATTTCGCGAAACTGTTTAAAATTTTGGATCAAATACCATAAAATTGCACCTAACCATCAACAAATGTAAAAGTATACGTTGACATTAAGAAAACTGTATTTGTGACGAAAACAATATAATTAAAAAAAAAATTAAATTTTCTCGGACTATCATTTTAAACATCACGCAAAATAATTTAAATTTTGGCACCAACATAGTAAAATTGCATGTAATTAACAATAAACGTGAAATTATACATTCACATTGAGAATATTGTGTTCGTGACGAAAACAATATAATTTAAAAGAATTAAATTTTCTCGGACTATCATTTTAAAAATCACGCATAAATGTTTTAAATTTTGGCACCAACACAGTAAAATTGCATCTAACTAAAAATAAATGTGTAATTGTACAATAACATCGAGAAAACTGTGTTCATAAAGAAAAAATAAAATAACAAAAATGAAATTTCCCCAGACTATAATTTAAAAAAATTACGGGATGTTTTAAATTTAGGCACCAACATAGTAAAGTTGACATACATTGGCATCGAGAAAAACTGTTCATAAAGAAATGGAATTAAAACACATGAAATTTTCCCGGAATATAATTTGAAAAAAATCGCGCAAAACTGTTTTAAATGTTGGATCAACTTAGTAAAATTACACCTAATCATCAAAAAACGTAAAATTATACGTGGACACCAAGAAAACTGTATTTGTAAAGAAAAAATTACATTAAAAAAGAAATATTTTACCGAATTCATGCGAAAGTTTTAAATTTTGGCATCAACATAGTCAAATTGCACCTAACAAAAAATGGAATTTAAAACAATTAAATTTTCCCAGACTACAGTTCTTAAAAATTAGGCGAAAATGTTTTAAATGTTGGCCAACATAAAATTGCACCCAACCATTAACAAAAGCCTTTCATTAATTCAAATTAATTAAAATTATACGTTAATATAGATAAAAAAGTGTTCGTAAAGAAATATTAAAATTTTCCCGGACTATCATTTTTAAAAATCACTGGAAAATGTTTTAAATTTTAACACCAACATAGAAAATTGCACCTAACCAACAACAAACGTGAAATTATACATTGACATTGAGAAAAGTTGACATACATTGACATCGAGAAAAACTGTTCATGAAGAAATGGAATTAAAACACATGAAATTTTCCCGGAATATAATTAGAAAAAATCGCGCAAAAATGTTTTAAATGTTGGATCAACTTAGCAAAATTGCACCTAATCATCAACAAAAAAAAAATATTTTACCGGACTATGTAAAATTCATGCGAAGGTTTTAATTGTTGGCAGTGTTGGCACCAATACAGTAAAATTGCACCTTACAAAAATAATTATATTTTCCGGATTGTAATTCTTAAAAATTATACGAAAATGTCTTAAATTTTGGCCAACATAGAAAATTGCACCTAACCAACAACAAACGTGAAATTATACATTGACATTGAGAAAAGTTGACATACATTGACATCGAGAAAAACTGTTCATGAAGAAATGGAATTAAAACACATGAAATTTTCCCGGAATATAATTAGAAAAAATCGCGCAAAAATGTTTTAAATGTTGGATCAACTTAGCAAAATTGCACCTAATCATCAACAAAAAAAAAATATTTTACCGGACTATGTAAAATTCATGCGAAGGTTTTAATTGTTGGCAGTGTTGGCACCAATACAGTAAAATTGCACCTTACAAAAATAATTATATTTTCCGGATTGTAATTCTTAAAAATTATACGAAAATGTCTTAAATTTTGGCCAACATAGTAAAATTGCCCCTAACCATCAACACGGTGTACTTCACGGTGCTTGGGAACCAACTTTAAATGAAAAGTTTATTTACTAGACTTTTTTTTCGGTCAAAGTATTTCTGAAGGGCTATAGATTGGCGCAATATATTTTTTCAAATCGGTTCCAGCAGCCGTTTTTGTGAAAACTCGATTTTTAATGAAAAAGTGACCTTTTTTTTACTTTTTTGCTTGTAACTTCCGCATTTCACATGTTCTCGGCTTGCCAAAAGTAAATTTCAATGGGAAAATGTCCGCTCTACAAAAAGCATCAATTACTTTTTTCTCTAAAATCAGCCGATTTTGAGTTAAATGAGATTCTTTTTATTTATACATTTTTAAAGAGGTCATGAATTTTATCATTTCAACTGTAGGTTTGAAACTTACACATCCTTGTGTAAAGTGACGACCGCTCAATTTTTTTGAAATTTTGGTACGTAATAACCTATAAAGTATTCATCGTAGTTACCAAAATTGTCAATAGGCTCAACTTAATCCTATGACTTAGTTTTTTGGATTTTTTTATTTTCAAACTTACGAGCTAGATTGAATTTATGTTGCATACAAACGTTTACTATGTGTTTTAGTATATGAGTACAGGGTGATCCAAAAATGTATAACGGTGACGGTAGTTCTTGCAAAAATCTTACTAATTTTACTGTGACGCCAAAGGAAGCATATTTTTAAAAAATACTACATAATATGGTATTTTGTCGACAAAATATTATAAAGTACATTCTTATAAAGGAAAGGGTGTTCTATAGAGAGAACAACAAACATAAAATTATCTTTTTCCAGTTTTTATTCATAGCCCTGTACTTATGAATTGATTTTTGGAAAAGGTAATACTACTTAAATATGTGTACCTCTAAGTTTCAAAATATACAAGGTGATTTATTTGTTAGAAGATATTCTATTTAAAAAAAAAATACAGGGAAATTCTAAAATTTCCCCTATCAAATATAAGCACGATATACCCACCTAAATATAGGTGGTTGCGCATCGTGGGCGGTCCTTATTTTAACGTGAAAATGAAAATTACTCATTTAACTCAAAATCGGCTGATTTTAGAGAAAAAAGTCATTGATGCTTTTTTGTAGAGCGGACATTTTCCCATTGAAATTTACTTTTGGTAAGCCGAGAAAATGTGAAATGCGCAAATTACAAGCAAAAAAGTAAAAAAAAGGTCACTTTTTTATTAAAAATATATTGCGCCAATCTATAGCCCTTCAGAAATACTTTGACCAAAAAAAAGTCTAGTAAATAAACTTTTTATTTAAAGTTGGTTCCCAAGCACCGTGACTTAAATTTGTTGGTATTAAAACTGAATTATTTTATTAGCGATAAAAAACATTATAGTCCAGGAAATAATAAAAAAAAAGATATAAACTTTAGTAGTGATGAGAGAAATGTACTTACACGCTGGCGTGGGGTTTTTTCTTTGAAAAATCACAGGCTAATCCTAAATCGGATATACGAACATGTCCGTGTTCGTCTAATAAAATATTCGCCGGTTTTAAATCTCTATATACAATATATCGCCTATGCATATGCTCTAATCCTAAAATAACTTCGGCGGCGTAAAATTTCATCTCGGACTCGTTGAACACGCCGTGCTGGCTCAGATGGTAATGCAGATCGCCGCCGTTCATCAGGTCCAGTATGAAACACAGTTTATCGGGCGTGTGAAAAGCGTACGTCATGCAAACTATAAAAGGGCAGTCTTGACCTAAAACAAAACAACAATTATTTAAAACATTTATCGTCAAATTTGAATTAATTCAATATCGTATACAGTATGGTACAAATGCAAGGAATAAATTCATTATAATGGAAATAGTTGGTTTTTCAAAAAAATGTTCGAACCAGTCATTTTTTTTTTACTAAAAGCGTAATTTTTCAAAAAGAATTCAAGTTTCCCCCACTTCCCATTTTTGGGCAGTGGCGTCATTGATAGTTTTTTTAAATAGTAGTGTGAAGTGGGGTAAAAGTATTTGAACCATACTGTATAAAAGGAAGAAAGAGAACATTATCGTCATTTACGAATTTTCTGTCAATTTAATTATGATTAGTTTAACAACCTGATTACTTAATGTATAAATGGTACACTATTATCGCAATTTATTAGTGAATTTAAAAAAATGCTAGTTACTGACCTGTGCTGACCAACGAGAGCATTATTCTCTCGTTCAGCGCCAACGTTTCTCCTTGTTTCATTTTGATCCTTTTCTTATCCAGACATTTCATGGCGTACATTTTGCCAGTATCGGCTTTCCGACAGCCATAAACTTCCCCGAAGCCGCCCCTGCCTATTATCCTGTGCACGCTGAAGTCGTTCATTGTTAACTATACAAAAAAATCATAAAATAATATTCCACTACTAAAAGAATAAATGATTTTCGAAATACGTTAAAATGTACTTACTTGTATATTTAATTCTAAATTTTTCCATTGACAAAACCTAGTATATTTATCACTGAAAAAGAAAAACAGAAACGGTATTAGTGATTTTATAAAAAAGACGAATAAAAATATTTTATAAGGAACGCTAAGGCTGGAATTGTCATAATAATGAGTTTTTAAAGTTTGTGCTTAACTAGAAACAATTTTGATTATAATATACAGGGTGTTTCAAAAAGATTGGTCATAAATTATACCACGTATTCTTGGGTCAAAAATAGGTCGATTAAACCGTACTTACCTATATACAAAAGTGCACCCAAAAATAGTTACAGGGTGTATAAGATAAAAATTTAAATGAATTTTTTAATGTTGCTCTTAAATCGTTTGACATTTTTTCATGAAATTTTATATGACGTGTTGGAATACCATGACTAACAAAATCGAGGTAGAGGCAATATATTTTTTTTTTATTTTTGTAGGATTTTGGAGGGTGTCACCGCCCCTTTCTCTACTCAACTTTCTTGTAATATAAAATTTTATTAAAAATCGAATGCTACTGAAATGCAACATCTATTTGGAAACTTTTTTGTCTCTTAGTATTTGTTTGTAAAATATTTGGTTTAGACGATACAGCCACTTAAAATGACATCTTAAAAATATTCAATGTAAATCATAAGTATGCAAAAATATCAAAATTCGATTTTCATTGTTAAAACTATGTAGTAAGTATATACAGGAGGAGAATGTAATTTTGAACACCTGTTAAATTATTTGTTTTATTTTGATGACATTATTGTGTAATTTAAAAATAACCTTGATTTTGATATTTTTCATACGTAGAATTTCCATTGAATATTTTTAAGTTGTCATTTCAAATGGCTGTATCGTCTAAACTAAACTTTTTACAAACAAATGCTAAGAGACAAAAAAGTTTACAAATGGATGTTGCATTCCAGTGGCGTTTCATTTGTTATTAAATTTTATACTACAAAAAAGTTGAGTGGAGAAAAGAGCGGTGACCCCCTCCATAATCCTATAAAAATCATAAAAAAAAATTGCCTCTTCCTCGGTATTATTAGTCATGGTATTCTAACACGTCATATAAAATTTCATGAAAAAATGCCAAACAGTTTAAGAGCAATGTTAAAAAAATTAATTTACATTTTTATCTTATACACCCTGTAACTATTTTTGGGTGCACTTTTGTATATAGGTAAGTACGGTTTAATCGAACTATTTTTGAACCAAGAATATGTGGTATAATTTATGACCAATCTTTTTGAAACACCCTGTATAATACTAAATAAGTGGTCAAATGATTTTTTTAACAAGTATTAGAAATTTAAAATTTAAAAAAACCGACTTTAAAAACGTGCAGATGCCATCACCACATCTCAATCAAATTTATATGGGACCATCCCTGAGGTACTCCCTTATTATAAAAAAAAAGAATCATATAAATCGGACAAGGTGGTAAAGCATTATCGCTAAATATACATAAAAAAATGCAAGAGTTTGAGGATTTTCTCATGGATCCAATTATTAGATTTTGACCAAATTTATATGGGACCACCCCTGAAGTATTCCCTTTCTAACAAAAAAAGAATCATTGAAATCGGACACCGTGTTAAAGAATTATCGCTGAACATAAAATATATATATTGTTATGTTTTTATCTTTAATATTTTAATTTATTATTATAGATATATTTTATATTTCTTACCTTTATTTATTTTTTTTTTATCTTTTTCCGGCTTGTCTTTGTTTCGAGCAAAAAAGATTCTCTCTCTCAGGGGCGGTTCTATTAAATCTGACTGCTTAATTGTAAATCAAAATCTTTTTTTATTTTGTATACCTTGATTGAAATATTGTCCTTTTTTTACTTAATTTTACCATACTATATTTTAAATTGAAATAAATTTGTTTAATTTTAGACATAAATTAACCATTTATTAACCACTAATACCTTTTTTATAAAAAAAATTTAACATAAATTATTAAATAAACACTTGACAAGAAATACCTACTTAATTATCTAAAAGTATCTCTCGTTGAACTCATTTTAAATATTTAGATTGTTATCTAAAATTGTTGTTAAAATAATTTCAACTTCTTAGTTGAATTAGGCCTAATCCCTTTAAAAAAAAAAACTTAAGACTATCTATTTTATAAATAACAATTTAAATTTTTTTTTTAAAGTTATTGTCTAATTTCATTAGAAAATAACTTTACTCGTTGCGCCATCTATTACCAATATTAGTAACATTTAATGTATAATGAATAGTTTTCTATTCTCTTCAAAAATTAAAAAGATCTAATTCATTAGATATAATATTTTTGTCATACAAATTGCGCCATCTATTACCAATATTAGTAACATTAAATGTATAATGAATAGTTTTCTATTCTCTTCAAAAATTAAAATGATCAAATTTACACTAGATGGGATAAATGTTTGTTTATGATTGTGTTAGGGTCGGTCTTTTTACCTTCAGATAAAGTGTCAGGTAATTTTTATTTCCCAAGTAACTTAAAAAGTAATCTTTTCACTTCTGGATAAATCTAACTTCTCAATGATAAATTATCTTATTTATGAAATTTCTAATAAAATACTTCACTGATGAATAAACAGGTAGTTACATAACCACATAAGGTTAAAAACTACTGGATACCTACCACACATATTATATACTTGAAAAAACAGAACATTAATTATCTGACAGACAGTAACTGTCCGATAATATATCCGTCAGTTAGTTATCTGGAACTTTATCTGAAGGAGAAAAGATCGACCCTTACTGAAGTACAAAATCATGGGTGGTAATGTTCACAACCGAAATAAAATGAGCGATTTGTTTCTTATTGTCTCTATAAAAAATTTCATTTATATTCGGTAAGTACTATTCGTAAACCTTTGTAATATGCATATATAATTAATATTATTTTATTTAACTCCAGTTCATGTATTAAAAAGAAATTATTTTAGCATTACACTTATCTGGAATGTCTTCCTTCTACGGTCATCACTAGGATTCCATAAACTTGAGTTTGCGGTCAAAACCAGAAATTCTGATGAACAAAGATTCCAATTGTGATCCTCGTCTTAACTATGAAGGTAGGTACATAGTTTATTTAGCTTAATAGTACATTACACTTACTTATTATGTAACTTTTGACAATTTTTAAGACAAATTTATTTCAAAAAATTATTTTACTAATCTTTTCAAAATTTTTAGATGCTGACCCGTTCACAAAAAAAAATGTCTTCCAAAAAAAATTGAAAAAGTTTCTTTTCCGTTGTTAGGGACTCAACCATCGAAACGACGGAATGCCTATCAAGGATGCATTTGTATTACATATTTTAATGAAGTTTATTTTGTGACGTCATTTCAATCAAAGGTATTTCTAATTATTATTTTTATTTATCAATAGTTTTTTGCTAATTATTTAAGACTACATGTCAAAATTGATTAACATATTCTGAGATCATACAGGGTTGTTCATTATTAATGAATATCATTAGATTAATTTGTTTACTCGATTGTCAGTTGTAGTATTTTAAGTCTAACTGTAAAAATTACTTCAAATATTTCAGAATCATACAGGGTTGTTCATTCTTAATGAATATCATTAGATTAAATTGTTTACTCTCATTTGATATTTTATTTTTTTTAATATTTATTTATATTCTTGTTTTACTTTTCCTATATTGCATTTCTTCACAATATATATAAAAAATAGCAATATCTTGGGGATGCAGTCAATAGATAAGGAGGGCTTTTTTAGTAAATAAAATGCACTCTTTTTTGTTTGTCAAGCTTTCAGAAAATGTTTATTTCCTTCATCAGAACATCTACAATGAATACAAAAATCGTTGTTAAAAATTAGTTACAAAAACAGAATAAACTAATTTACTCACCAAACTGAGATTAATAGAAAAAGTTGACATCAAATACACAATTAAAAACTTTTCTTGTTGACATTATACATTATAAAATTTGTTTAAAACAAAAAAAAACACTATGGTTAAAAATTGAAGACTGAGAAAATTTTATTAGTTGAATTTTAAATCCATCATCGTCGATTTCTACGTTAAAACTGAACAAACCGGTGTTCAAATACGAAATTTATCAGCATGTGCAAAAAGCCATTGACTTTCAAGTTGTTTGAAGGAAATAACGAGCTGGATACAAATATAATATTTTCGCATCTGCGTTAATAAAAAGAATTATTTGAATTTTTTTTTTGTGTGTAATGTTATTGAAATATTTCTACAAGAATTTTCAAACAGACAATGAGTAATTAAAAAAAATGCAAAGAAATGGAAAATTAATTTGATATTGTTGATTTGATGATTGGAAAGAGAAAAGAGAAAAAAAAAGAAGAAAGTTAAAAAGAAATTGTTAATGAGAAAAGAAAAATTTTGTTTTTTTTTTAATATTTTAATATTTAATTTTGCAAAGAGAGTAAATAATTGTAAATTTTGCTTAAATTGGCTACATCAGATTTTTTATTGAGTGTATTTTTAGTATTGTGAATATGGACCATTTCTAAAAAGATCCTTTTGGTATAGTTGGGTTCTTTAACGAGGATTTTAGTTTCACTGAAATTCATAGTATGTTTTGTGTTGATTACGTGGTCTGCTAAGGCACAGGACAACTTTTTTCTGTTGCAATCACTCCTATGGGAGGATATGCGCCCAGATAAGCATCTGGACGAGTGACCTATATAAACGTTTTCACAATCTGAACAAGGAATGCTATATACTACATTCGAATTTTCCAATTTCTCTAAAGGTGTTTTTGTTTTAGTGTAAAGATTTTTGATAGTTTTTACGTTATGAGTGGCAATTTTGATATTATTAACCCTTTTTAATACATTAACAAGCTTAGGTGTTAAATTGGGTATGTATGGTAGTTATGCATACCTGATAGTGGTTTTAGGGATCGTGTTATGAGTTGGAATAACATTTCCTTGGTCTTGGTGGTTATTTAAAATAGGGGTGTTGAAAATATACTTATTTAATAGGTTGATTGGGTACGAATTCTCCCACAAAATATCTCTCAACAATAACAAATCCTCGTTGATAAAATTAGGATGTGACAACCTACGTATTCTCCCTTTCAAAGCTAAAATTAGGTTCGTTTTCATTTTAGGAGGATGGTTAGACCAATAACTGATAAACCTATTGCTACACATAGGCTTTCTGTACCACCTTGTACGCAGAATATTGTCTAAACCCCTGAAAATTTTCATGTCTAGGAAGGGAAAACTTCTGCCAACTTCATATTCAACTGTGAATTGGAGATTTTCATTTTAGCTGTTGAAAATCATAAAGGTGTCTTGTACTTTGTTAACAGGAAGAGACAGTACTAGGTCATCAACGTATCTCTTGACAAATGGAATTTGAAAAGATATTTTGCTAAGGCAACTTCGAACCAAATCATCCAACACAAAATTACATAAAATGGGTGAAATTGATGAGCCCATGGCATGACATACAACCTCATTGCAACTTTAATCTAGAAATTTTCTTAAACATTTTAGAGTTTATTTTTGACTCAAACATTTTCACATTCAATGGTAAGTTTTTTAAACAGATTTTTGGCACGCCTATGGGCTCATCAATTTCACCCATTTTATGTAATTTTGTGTTGGATGATTTGGTTCGAATTTTATCAACGAGCATTTGTTATTGTTGAGAGATATTTTGTGGGAGAATTCGTACCCAATCAACCTATTAAATAAGTATATTTTCAACACCCCTATTTTAAATAACTACCAAGACCAAGGAAATGTTATTCCAACTCATAACACGATCCCTGAAACCACTATCAGGTATGCATAACTACCATACATACCCAATTTAACACCTAAGCTTGTTAATGTATTAAAAAGGGTTAATAATATCAAAATTGCCACTCATAACGTAAAAACTATCAAAAATCTTTACACTAAAACAAAAACACCTTTAGAGAAATTGGAAAATTCGAATATAGTATATAGCATTCCTTGTTCAGATTGTGAGATATAGGTCACTCGTCCAGATGCTTATCTGGGCGCATATCCTCCCATAGGAGTGATTGCAACAGAAAAAAGTTGTCCTGTGCCTTAGCAGACCACGTAATCAACACAAAACATACTATGAATTTCAGTGAAACTAAAATCCTCGTTAAAGAACCCAACTATACCAAAAGGATCTTTTTAGAAATGGTCCATATTCACAATACTAAAAATACACTCAATAAAAAATCTGATGTAGCCAATTTAAGCAAAATTTACAATTATTTACTCTCTTTGCAAAATTAAATATTAAAATATTAATAAAAAAAACAAAATTTTTCTTTTCTCATTAACAATTTCTTTTTAACTTTTTTTTTTCTCTTTTCTCTTTCCAATCATCAAATCAATTTTCCATTTCTTTGCATTTTTTTTAATTACTCATTGTCTGTTTGAAAATTCTTGTAGAAATATTTCAATAACATTACACACAAAAAAAAAATTCAAATAATTTTTTTTATTAACGCAGATGCGAAAATATTATATTTGTATCCAGTTCGTTATTTCCTTCAAACAACTTGAAAGTCAATGGCTTTTTGCACATGCTGATAAATTTCGTATTTGAACACCGGTTTGTTCAGTTTTAACGTAGAAATCGACGATGATGGATTTAAAATTCAACTAATAAAATTTTCTCAGTCTTCAATTTTTAACCATAGTGGTTTTTTTTGTTTTAAACAAATTTTATAATGTATAATGTCAACAAGAAAAGTTTTTAATTGTGTATTTGATGTCAACTTTTTCTATTAATCTCAGTTTGGTGAGTAAATTAGTTTATTCTGTTTTTGTAACTAATTTTTAACAACGATTTTTGTATTCATTGTAGATGTTCTGATGAAGGAAATAAACATTTTCCGAAATCTTAACAAACAAAAAAAGAGTGCATTTTATTTACTAAAAAAGCCCTCCTTATCTTTTGACTGCATCCCCAAGATATTGCTATTTTTTCTCAACTAGTCAGTCAGTACTACCCTCCTTTTTATATATATATATATATATATATATATATATCGCGACGAATTGATAACCTCCTCCTGTTTTGAAGTCGGTTAAAAACACCAATTAATGTCGTGATTATTTTTTTATGACATTTATATTTGACTGTTACGCACTGTATGATTTTTTTTAATCTTCAGAGGTGCATGTTTATTTGTTTTGAAACGCAAGAGGTGTTGCCTTTTTAGTTAGATCGCTAATATTGAAAAAATTGGTATACTTAGTGATTTATGAGCATTTAAAAGAATCATGGTGTTACATATAAAAAGGAATATAAAAACGTTATTGTAAAAAATGGTGGACGCATAGAAGAGCACAACCACCTTTATTTTAAAAGCAAGAAATCAAAATTTCATTTATTTTAAAAGCAAGAAATAAATAAAATGAAAACAAGGAGGTCGTCTCCACTTTACCTACAATAACCCTATTAAATGCAATAAAATTGCAAGTCGGGTTATAAAGTATATCTTGAAAGATCTCTGCATATTAAATATGGCGCCATCACATAAATGTAAAAAATGGTGGGTATATATAAAAAATGTTCCTCCACCATATTTTATAACAAACTAAAGATTGTGTTTCGCATTTTAAAAAATTACAGTAAATGTACCTCTTTTAAGCTGGCAGGACTACAGGAATAAATCGATTCAGATCTATTGCATTACTTAGTAATTATTTTGTACTAATTTGTATCAACAAAAAATTTGTACCATGTGCCGTTTTGATAAAAAAACATGCCTTAATATTAAACTAGCAGGAACACGTTAAAATATAAAAAATAGGACTGAATTTGTACTAATTTGTACCACCAATAAACAATTTGTAATATATGCCGTTTAAAAAAAAAACAACAATATTAATTAAGCGAGCAGGACCACATTAATATAATAATAATAAAAGACTGATGTCAAGTTGGCATTGCAATGTTTCAGAAACTGGAAATAGATAAATGGGCCGATGCCTATCGTTTGGGCTCATTGGACCCATAACATTCACTGGTGTGAACTTAGCAGACCAGACTTGGCAGCTAAAATGGCGAAGGTACCCGAATGAACAAAGGGTCGGTCTCAACTAAATAAATATTGCGGAAATTATTAAATAAAATATAAAAGCAAGAACATTTTAAACAAATATAAACTATAAAATAGATATTAAACCATATATAAGACAATTTATATTCAAAAATTTGTCTTTTTAAGATCTTGATATATCGCGGTCAACAAACAATCTAAAATAACTCCAAAAAAAGACATACTATCAAGTTGATATTTTAACATAATTAAATCCAAAGAGTAAGAACACAATGAAAATGTAAAAAAATTATTTCAAAATGCCGACAAACTATCTATAATAACTCCATATTTTAGGAAGCATAAGTCTATACATATTCATATGTAACAGTAGTACTGTCAATTCATCGCAAGCCGTCAAAAAGTAAGAAAAAATTAATATAATATAAAAAACTGTAGAAATAAAAAGTCTGCCAACAAACTATCTACAATAACTCCATAAATAGATACACTATCAAGTTCATATTTTATTTTATTTATTGGTTGTACCAATTAGTAAAAAATAAGTACTAAATAATGCAGTTGGTTCTGCCAAATTAAGAGAGGTAGTAAATTTTATTAAAAGGAAAATAGATAAAATCGAAGAACTAACTTACCTCTCTAAAAATTTTTTAAATGGTTCATCCCTTAGATGTGTATAAATTTCTTCTATATAAGGCTGGAAAAATAAAATATTTTTGAATATTTTCTACGTTTTTTTTTTTTTTTTTTTTTTAATATTTATTTATTTATTTATAAAAGGTGTTCCTTAATGATATGATATGCGAATATTTAACGGTGTAAATATACAGAGTGTTTAAAAAAAAGGTGGTTCCGTTGCTAGGATAGACAGAACATTGCAAAATAAGTTGGGTTTGCTTAGTAAATAATTTTCATAACGGTATCCGTTTTTAAGATACAGGGTATTGAAAACAAAATGTTTATACACATTTTTTACGATTATGTTAAAAAATACTGGCTACATTGTAATGAAAATTTGTACGAATATGTTTTGGAAGCTCACACATCGTATAAATTTGTTTTCATATCTGCTTCTCATGAGAGCGCTAGTTAGACGGTTCGTAACGAGTCGTTTTAAACATGTATTTTTGGAGGTTAAATTTTCTGTTACTGACTCTAAAAATAAGGAATTTTATAGATAATACCTATTAGGTTTTGGAGTGATAGCAGCTAGTTTTTCTCCGATGTTAGAAAAATAAAATATTTAAACTCATTTCATATTTGTTTGGGCAGATTTATAGGATCGCCTATTTTAAGTCGTATTTCCTCAATTTTTTCTTTTTTTTATTGTCTCCGGTTATTTCTTTCATTGAATTATCTCAAAGAGGTTTCGAAAATATAAATTATTTTCCATTCCAACCCGCATTTTCGAAATGGAACATTTTTGGAAAATAGTTTATAAACATACATTCATTATTTTTGTTTTATTAATTTATTTAATTAAAACATCCAACAGCCTGAGTGGTGATTCAAAAACTTAAAAACTAAAAATAAAAAACAGATAATAATTTAATTATTAATTTTTCAAGTAAATTCACACCTTTAAACATTCGTATATCATTAAAGAACACCTTGTATAAATACCCATTGAAAACTAAAAACATTTTCTTCAAGACTATTTTGTTCTAGATACAGTTGAAAAAAATAATAGTAAAAAACTTACCTCAAATAGAGTTACTGGCACTTCATTTTTCGTGAGATGCCTTTGAACGTGCAACAGACAATCCTTTGAATAATCCTGAAAGGAATAAAAAAAATATAATAGCTGAACATCCCACCAACTTTTACGTGTTTCTTTTGAAACTTTGTCAGAACGTAGTTTGCAACCAAAGTAAAGTCTACAAGGCGTCGGTACATTTTTTTTTATTTCTCTGTAAATATTAGAGCATGAGTGAAATACGAGGTAAAAGAAAACTAAAATACAAACCATTTAAATTTTCCGAAATTTTTTGGTGGAAAAATGTGTATGCTCGAATATAAAATGTACAGGTAAATCGTTTATTCCTAAATTAATTTAACTTTTTTCCTAATTTCTATTATTTTTTTTTTCTTTAATTCTTTATTGATCCTAAAAGGGTTAAATGAAAGATTATTTGTAGACTTAATTTTGCTCTTTTATTTTTGTAATTTTCAAATAAAGAAGTTTTCTTTTATGAATGAAGAATACTCACTTTTTTGGTAAATACGCGGCTTCCTAGAATCTCTGAATCATTTCGTGATTTTAAAACCCGTCCCTGTTCTCTCCGGGACATTCGCAGAATTTTAAATTTATGATTCAAAGCTCGAAACAAGTTTTACGTATACGAGCGACATTATATCAAACTGCTAAACTACCCTGAAATACATTTTAGTACGCTATAACGGAGGAGTGTTTCTTCCTAAGTATCGCGAAACCTTTTCCAGAAAGGTTTTATGGATTAAAATTTTCCATTATACCATTTCAAATGATGTAGATCATATTTTCGGGATCGTATATTATTAGGAATTTTGTTTCAGTCAATTTTGTCCAGATTTTATTGCTTGTTTTATCTGTATAATAAAGTCGGAGAATTTTTGAAAACGATAAATTAGGAGTGTGTAAATAAATGTTAATAATAAATTTATGTAAATGTTGACATTAAAATTTGAAGAAAAAACAATGCTTTTGAGGGAAGTTAGAATTGATGAATATGAATATAATTTGAAGTTGTTTGTTTTGAAAAGTTACGTTTTAAAAATTTGGAATGTATTTATAAATTATAAGTTAGTTTTGAGAAGTGTTTATTTAATAATGTTTGAAGAGTTTAAATTAAGAAATTTTACGCTGGATGGAGTCGAAATGAGATATTAAAAAAATAGATAAAGAATTATAAAGATAGATCCGCAGACAGAAGATCTACGATAATAATTTTTTTTGTGACCGTAAACAATACGGACACAACAATTTTCTTCACTATTTTTGCTATAATCGCTATATTCTTAAAGCAAATGATATTACTTACTATTTTTGATTAATTTAACTGCGGCAAAACCAAAATAACCAAAGTTAATATGAAAATATTGTGTATTAATTTGTAAATACACCATTTTTTTGATATAACCTCAATTTTCTTAAAAAAAACTCTATTATTATCTATAGCCATGCTGCCAATTTTTTAAGTGTCTATATTTGATAAAATATCGGACAATCGATAACATCATCGATGGTTAACGTACGCAATCGAGTGTCAATTCCATAAAATTATTAATTTATTTCGTTTTCTATCTTTTACTTTTAATTTCCAGCCATATCCGGCGAGTTATACATTCATTTTGATTGAATTGTAGTACATATGGACTAAATATTAATATCTCTAAAATACTTTTCGAAAACTTTTAAACTTAATTAGTTTGTGTAAATCAAAAATTTTTTAAAATAAGAAATTTACTATCTTATTAAGCATTGTCAACCAACGCCTTTAACAATTAAATAGGATAGCTCAATTCGTTCAATTTCTGTGGAGTCAGCCGTGACGTAACGTCACCCACTGAATACTTTCAACGGTTCAGCCTGAACTCATTTAAATATACATCTATACAATACACCTTTTTTTATTCTATTTATTTTTAAACTAAAAGGTATTTCAGATATTCAAAACATTATTTTAACCAGAGAAAAAAATAAAAACATCCCAAAATTACAGGAGTAAGTAAAATAGGTAATAAATTTGAATACTGCCGCCATGTTATCTAAAAATATTTCTTAAACAATACATAGAAGTCGAAATTTATATACAAAGTGTACAAAAGTTAATGCAACTTACTAAAATTAAATTTCTAATAGGTTTGCAAAAAAGTTTTTAATAAAAGTTTTATGAAATTATTTAAATTTTCAGTATAAGATAATAGGAGATATAATGGGTTTGCCATTATTCCAAAATTAAGCAAGAATTTATTTTTCTGTACTGTATTAAACTTAAAATAAAACCATTAAAACTGGATTGTGCTAATTTTATTAGCTCTAATACAGGGTGTACTATTAAAAAAATATCCTTGCGTTATTTTGGAGTAATAGTGCACCTAGTATATTTCCAACTGACTTATACCCGATATAACTTGATTTATTTCATAGAAATTTTTTCCAAAATGCTTTCTGTAAATCTACTAAAATTCAAAAAATAAAAAGGTTATCTGACACAAAAAACGCGCTCGTCTTTCTACATCTCAACTACCTTGGAAGAGAACGCGCTTAGCCGAAGTTTTGAAATTCACGCTCGTCTTTTTTACATTTACACCATAAGAGCACGCTACGCTCGTCCCGCCCACGTCCGAACCGCTACAGAAAAGACCGAGCGCTCCATGTCGACACTTACATCATAAGAGCAAGTTATGTTCGTCCTACTGTTCTACGCACGTCCCACAGTGGGGCCAAATCCCAAAATCCTGGCCAAAACCTCAAATAAACTGATCGAAATGAAAATTGGTATACAGCGGTTTCGAAGGCCACTGAATACGAATCCGAAGTCTAAATGGTTATAAACAAAATGGCCGATCCAATATGGCGGCCATACAAGTGAAAAAGGTTCCAGATCTTGTCGAAAATTGGTATATTAGAGTTTTCAAGGTCACTGATTACGAATCCGAAGTTCAATTTATTATTGACAAAATGGCCGATCCAATATGGCGGTCATGTAAGTGAAAAAGTTGCCAGATCTTGTCAAAAATGAGTATAATTGAGTTTTTAAGTTCGCTGATTACGTTTCCGAAGTCGAAATTGTTATAAGCAAAATAGCCGATGAAAATACCGCGAAATAGACCCTTAAAAGTACCTAAAGAAACCTAACAAGAACGTATTATTGCTATTCGCGCAGGTAAGCAAATATCCAATTTATAGTGAGAACATTTATTAAATATTACAATTATTCTGAATTTTGTTATTATTATTCTTGTTTTTATTGCTGTTGTTATTGTGGTAAATGCCAAATTGTAGACGATGGAGACGAGCTTCCCATCTATTACAGTTTCAAATGGACGAAGATTCTTTATTTGTTCTTCAATGACTCGAACTTCATTGAGTGTTGACTCTGAGTCTTCGTGCAGAAACTGTAGTCTAAGTGGTCTACAAAATCGTGGAGACGAAGGCCTAGGGTTCTTCCAAACAGTGATTTGCTCCTTTGATTCTTCGTCGATAGTCACGAGTTGTAATGGCACAACTGATGTGAAGAATACATGCGCATCTGATTTGTTACTATCAGCAAACGTCTGCTTATATTCACGGTGCCCATCGCAACCCCATTTGCAAATTAAATTTAACTTACGAACATGCTGTTGTGTTAAACTTCCAATGACTTCATTTTGGACGAGTAAAATACGGTCAATTGTATGGTCCAGTAATGCCTGTTTCACCTAACCAGTTGGTTTATTTATAGAAATTAAACATAATAATTGAAGATATTACAGAAGAAAATAGGGAAATAAATTAATTTTCTTTTACACTTTTATATAATAATTATTTTATTTAGAATTCACGAATCACTTATTACTCTACATTAATTATAATTATTGTTAGTTTCGTTATGTCAAATCATTTATACTAGAGGTGTGAGGAAAATACAGTGAACTGTGGAACGCCAATATCGTTGGATGCGCGTGGTAGAAATGGTCCTATAATACTGCTAAAAACATAGCTAAATTTTCATGGAAACACTGTACTTTTGACATTTGCGATACTCCGACGCATATGCATTATTGATGTAATCTCATGATTTTACAGTAATAGTTTTTGCAATTTTAATGTGATTTTTAGGTTATTATGGTTATTCATTTTATTTGGTTCTGATCTTTTGCGCTTTTAGAGTATTTGTCTTTTATATAGTTTTTAATTTGAATTTTAATATTGTGGTCTATTTATTTTTGATTGCTGCTTTTCGACTAGTGCTTTATTCTTTTTGTGTTAAAATAAGCTTTATAACCATTAAGTACATGCTTATAGTTGATATCTACCTAATCGTCATCGGGTGCTTGCAACAATGGGAAAAAGTCTATGGTATTTTTGGTGTAAAGTTCATTTTTCAGGTAAGTTATTTGTAGTTATTTTTTACTTAAAAGGATAGCAATACGTCCTGGTTCGGGGTGTGACTTTTGGGTTTTAGCTATCTGAGCCAAATTGTCGGCTAAGTGTCCTCTTTTAGGGCACCCAGAACCGAAAACTATATAGGTATATAATATGTTTTTTTTTTAATTATTTTTTAATATGTATGCAGCTTGGATGAGGGCTTTAGGAAGAGATCCAAAGACTGAACACTGACTGCTATAAATGCCGTTTTTAGAGCACATTTCACAGTAAGTGATTTCATTCTAGCAGCAATGAGGAAACGTTTAAAAAACATGCTGTACCAGCTATTACTTTAAGACCTCGTCTCTTTAAGTTATTATTACTTCATTCTAATGCATATATTAAAATGGTTTTTAACTTATGTCCTTATGATTAAAAGATGTAGGTATTTTAGTTATGTTATTATAGAAATATATGATACTTTGTATTGACTGACCTACTGGCCACTGGTCATTCCACTTTTACTCCCTTTTTTCATAAATTATCAAATTATTTAAAAACAAATACATACCTAGCTATTTTCTGTAAATTACATTAAAATTTTAGTATTAATACTTTACTAATAAAACTTCAGGTAATTTATCTTATATATATATACACAACGGAAGAGTTAATTGGATTTTCTCCTTGTTGAGTTTCAAAAATAGTAATTTAACATGATTTAAAAACAAATACATGAAATGGGCAAAATAGGCCTGCAAAGGCACTTTGTAAACAATCTCACTTGTATCGATGTGACGTAATGCGCGAATTCAATCTGGCTTACTTTTGTTAATAGATTGGCGTTCCATTTTAAATATACAGTTCACCGGGAATAGATTATTTAAATATACACGGACCGGGAAAACAAGTACGAAAAAATTCACTGGCTAGTGGACTAGTACTGTATCGAAGGAATTTTTATGAATGAAACAATATACGACCCTCCACAATTGCGGTCTACTCTACTTCCCCTGTTGTCAGACATTATTTTTTTTTACAATTTAAAGACCTAACAGTAATTCAAGCAAACGCAATAACATTACTACAGTTAAAAACATCGCAAACTTGGCATCAATATTTTAATTTTATCCAAATATTGCATTTCTGTCGAGGATCATCCGCGTTGACTTCAGAAATTGTGTAATCTGTATTGGTTATATATATCTATAGTTAAAAGCACGTAAACTTGGCATCAATGTTCAATCCGATTATTGAGTTTCTACCGCGGACACCACCGTTCATTCTTCAAAAATTTTGTAAATAATCCTATCTGTCTTGGTTATATATCTATGATTGTTTCAATATGTATTCGATTCATAAAAGTATCTAATCGATTCTGTTAATTATTAATCTAGATTTTGTTATAAATTGAAATATTTTGCAACCATGCATATGCTTTACACAAAAATCGAAAAATCTTAGGTTAGAATCATCAAAATTCTCTGTTATTTATGCTTAATCCGGAATTATTTTTTTTGTTATTTCAAAATACTATTTTTTAGTTCAAATTTTTTTCGAAATTCGTGTGTTCATTACGTTTACGGGCACCTTTTTTGTATCAAAAACAAACAGAGAGAGTTTCTGAGTTAAAAACAGTGGGATTTAAAAAATTTATATAACGAATGATAAAGTGAGTTTTTGTTTAATTTTTCTTTTACTTTTATTATTAAAATTATGTATAGTAAGAATAAAATAAGTGAACTTAAACCTTAAGAAAAACCGACAGGTTAATTACAAATTTAATTTTATAGTTAAAAATTTTTTTACAGGGTGTTGTAGGGAAAATAACCTAAAATGTCCATTTTCCATATCAATATCTCTATTTCTATTGGCGAATAATAAAAGTTGAAATGATTTACTTACATGCGAGCTGGATAGAAGCTCCTTCATTATAAAATTATCATAAATGTCTTTTGCGCATTTCAACCTTTCTTCGTGGCATTCCAGTTTCTCGAAAGATTTGATCTGAAACCAAAAGAAACAACTATAAGAAAAAGATTGTAAAAAAGGTGTTAACCAATTCAAATAAACAAAATAACGTAAAATTTTATCAAATGGAAACGGGCTACTGTTCATTGGGACACCCAGTATATGAATTTAAATTTTAAATACTCTCGATTTTGTATGTCTAGCAGAACGCGATAAGAAAGTACTGATGAACAATCTTTTTTTAGATCTCACTATTGACTCGTCGACACAATTTGACACGAATTCAGATAATCCAATTAATTATGGCGGCGATAAATTAGCAATATCTTAAATTTGAACCTGGATTGGGAACGAGCTCAGTTAAAATTCTATTACCCCAATTGGAATTAGCAACGGCGTACATTATGTACGACGAAACGGCACAAATCTGTCTCGTTTCGCTGACGAGGAATTCGCGAATTAACTTTGATGTCGCACTCTCGGTACTTAGAGAAGTTTAACCTAAATTGGTTTTACGGCATCCTCCAGCAGACTGGAGGTATGTAGTTGCGAATTTCAAGCCGGATTATCCTTATTAGATCCTATCTAACGAAACGAGAGAGACAGAAATTATACATTATACACACTATTAGTAAATCAATAAATCTTTTTATTGATTCTTTCAAACAGAAATTATAGGACGTTACTAGTCCTAATTAAGTGACAGGTCTCAACGTGTATGTTACAATAATAAATTTTTGAATTGCAGGAATATTTTATTTAGTATTCCCCATGCCCAAGGCAGCATCCTGGGACCGCCCCCTTTCTTAATTTATACAATAACAATACCAATACGGTTCATATAATTATTATTTTATAATAAAAAAAAATGAATGAGCCGACGAAGTAGACATGGGTAACGCACTAAAATTCTTTGCGTTGATACACTAACTCCGGCGCACTCTATTGCGCCAACTCATTGCGTTATTGCGTCACACCACTGCCTGCGCCGAATGAAGTCGATGCACCTCGGTGTATCGCATGATACCGGTGTTATTCAGCGCGGGCTGTCTTTTTATAAAGGTCAAACCGTGTTCAAGGCAATAACGCAATTGGGAATTTAACTAAATTTTTTTTATTATATGTTTAAAAATAAACGAAAATATAACAGTGTAATGCACTTATTTTTTTATTTCATTGTGTTCGGATTTTACAAAAAATACAAAAATTCCAATTTATATAAAAAGGATATAAATTTTGTATACTAGTAGCCAATCAAATTGGGAAGAACTAAAAATTGACAGTGTACAAGATTAAAATTCATAAAATTCGACCTACAATCCTACAAATGATGTGACATGTTGCAAAGAACATAATTACTTGATAGATTTTGGGTAATCTGCATTACGAGTTGCATCAATTACGTAAATTAAAATTCTCAACTCGTCACGGAAAACGGAATCAGTGCCTGGCGCACGGCGCACCAACAACTCGTGATCCTTTCGACTCAGTATCGAAAATTGCGTTGCGCTGATACAGTAACAACTGGTGTATCAACGCTCGTAACGCATACAACTGCGTTAACGCAATACCGCAACGCAGCGCTGCGTTACCCATGTCTACGACGAAGCCACACCGAGTACCGGACATCCAGAAAATGAGAAGCTAAAGGATAATCTTGACAGCTTCTCAGGCATTGTATGTCAGGTATGATCTTTTCTTTTCATTTTTCATGACAAAAAGAAAGAAAAAACGAAAGAAAGAAAAACATAAGTATTACTTCTTGTATTATCAAGTCCATACAAAATTGTAAGGCCCAAGTCTACGCTGACGGCAGTTTTAAAAACGAATACTCATTATTCGACAATCAGATTATTGATAGAGATCTTAAACTAATTTAATATTTTTTTCCAATATAATTTAAAACTTAATGCATCGAAATATTGTGGTCTATGTACTAGTTATTTTGGTAATTATCAATCGTTGTTGCTAGGTACCCGCTAAAGTGTACACAAAACAAAAAATTATATAGACGCGAAACGTCATATTGCTGTGATGGGAGATGTTTGTGTGAATGCGTCTTGTTTGTTTTCATTTACCAAAAACCAAAATGATAAGAAGGAGGTGGGATTATAAGATCTAGGATTTGGTATGAAGGTAAAAGACAATATGATGTGTGTAAGCAAATCAACGATATATAAAGTTATAAGTGAATTAAAAAGTGGAGTTGTTAAACCCCCAAAGAAAAATGCAGGAGGTAAAAAAAGTAGAATTTACTGAACAAATTAAAAGCGGAATAAGAAGAAAAGTTCAGGAATTTTATTTTAAAAAAGAGATACCAATACTTGTCAAGATTTTGGATGCAATTGATTGTAATGAAATTGTTTGTTAGAGACGGAGATACCTCAGAACCATTTTTAAATTACGTGTAGAAGGCAAAAACATATTTGATTTTTACGAAACCTGGGTGAATAAAAGTTACACAGCAAATTGTGGCAGGATACAAACATTCAATCTTCACGACAGGCTATTTTAGAAGGTTAATCTACAGGTCTGAAGGTTCCTACCGGTAAAAGACGACGTCTAATTAGAATAAAAAATGGTATCTACGTAACTGGATAAAAAATGGAATGGATCAAAAATGTCAGGTGCATTGACAGGTTTATATTTTGACATCTGTCAACACAATAGGTTAGCCAGCTCAGGATAGAAAATGGCGCAGATAGAAAATGGCTTTAGATTTATATTTTGGCATTGTAATTCCCCCCACTACCCACTTTCCCGTTTTTCTCGTTTAAATTAGACCAATAGCAGCTCAGATATAGGTTTAGGTCCTTTTAGTATTGCGCATGTTAAATTTCAACAATCATCGTATACAATGGCCGCCATCTTGGATTGCTTAGCCGTGTCGTACCACTGACACTTGGCGTGACGTCTAGTTCACAGATTGCGACATCTCGTAGTGACTTTTGAAAGGTCGCCATCTCGTGGCTACTCTTGATTACTGGCAGGTACGAATGTTTGCAACATTGAATGATTGACAGCTGACATGACAGGTGACAGTTTCCAACACTGTTGACAACTGACATGACAGTTGACAACTGACACGTAACATGTCACGCATGCGCATTTTGTAAAAGGGGAGGGGAACCTCCACACTCCGGAAATGCCCATAGAAATTGGTGGAGGGTTTAATATTCCTTGTAATATTAATTAACGAACGAAAAACAAAAAAGGTCGTTTGCGCGTATACCCAACAAAAACAAGCACCCCGGCAATTAAATGAAAATTATTTAAGTTTAAAATAGTAACAAAAAAATACTAATACAAACAAATACCCCCTAATTTACCCAACCGTGCGCTTATCAGAGTCTTAAAAGGGATTAAAATAAGGGTAGCCCATTGTTATGTTCCACGAAATCGGCCAGCACAGATAAACTTCTTAAAATCACCACACCTTATAACTGCTGGCTATTTAAAATCACAGATTTTGTTTGTGCCGCCTGTGCTGTAAAACTCCCATAAAATTTTAATTTATTACTCCGTGTCGATTGCGAGTCTACTAAATAAAGATTTTTCTCCGTGCATCCCCCATATTTTTTTTTAATAATGGCAATGGATAAAACCAAAAGGTCAGACTATTGTAGTAACCCATAATTCTTTAATTGTTTTATCCACTATTGTTACATGATTACATTATTATTATTATTATTATTATTATTATTATTATTGTAAAGAAAACTCGTCTTTTACAAATTTAGATTTCAAAATGGACTGTATGACATTTTATTGACATTAAAAAGAAAACTTACATAACAAAACAGAACTTTTTAATTAACATTATACGTTACACGACGCAGCGTGAAAAAGGGTAAAACGTACATCACAGAATTTTTTAAGTAACAATGGCCGACTTGAGGTTCGGTCTTGTGCGCACTCTGGTATGAACATTCTCAACGACACAGGCATAAAACGACATCTCTGTAACGGGCGCCACAGATACTAATAGCTATTTTTATGAATTAACGAAAATATCAACAATTATTATTATTATTATTATTATATATTAACTCATATGTATTTTTGTTTATTTTGATTTTTTTTTATTGATTTGTATTATTTTTTGTTTTTTCCTTTTTTTTTCCTTCGTTTCTTTTTTGTTTTATCATTTACTTTATTTTTTCGTTTCAGCTTTACAATATTTTTACGGTAGCTCTACTGTTTACAATCTTGTATTAGATTTTTTAACAAATTCATACAATATTTTATAAACTTTAACATCGTTTAATGAAAGCAAAACATCAATGTTTATTGGTAGAGGTACACCAATATTAACTAATTCTTAGTACATTGTGTCAGTATCTAGCGAATTTAGAACACACACTCTAAAATTATATGATTGAGATCAGTAATTTCATCACAAATTAAACATAAATTATTATCTGATAAACCAAATTTTTCCTTGTAGACAGCATGCATAGCATGATTACTTCTCATACGACAAATAACTCGGATAAAAGACCAGGGACACTTTGGAATATTAGGTTGAATGTTTTTGTATTTCTTTTCTTTTTCTTCTTTAAAATATGCATCTTGCCAAGTTTTAAACATTGACAATTTATATTTAGCAATAAAATCTGATTTTAGAGTTTTAATATTTTTATTAGTTCCAGAAACAGTAGCCTTTTTTGCTACGAAATCCACTTTCTCATTGCTAGTAATATCTTCATGAGATTTTATCGACGCCAACGAAATTTCTTTATTTTGTTCCAAACATTGGTAGTTAAGCTTAAGAATTTCTGAGGCTATATAGATGGTAGGACTTGCAACGTTCCATTTTGCAAAGTATTCTACTGTACTCTTACTATCAGTAAATACAGGATGTCTGTAAAAGGTCTTTACAAAAACATACCACACCACATATTTCTTAGACCAAAATAAGTCGATTTAAGTAAAATTACCTGTGTACAAAGTTGCTTCGTTTGGGATCCAGAGGGCCTTGAAGTTACAATTTTTAAATCGTTTTTCCCATATAAATTTAAAACGGCATATGCGAT